TCTCTTCCTAACATCCAACCTAACCCTCCCCTGGCAGAGCTTGAGTCTGTGCCCTCTTGTCCTGCTGCTGGTTGCCTGGGAGAAGAGACCAACCCCCACCTGACTCCAACCTCCTGTCAGGGAGTTGCAGAGGGCAGGGACACCCATGGGATTGGACACCCAGGAGTGTTCCTGTCCTGGGATCAGACTCCCATGGGTGTCCCTGCCCCGGGGTTGGACTCCCGCAGATATCCCTGCCCTGCGATGGGACAACCATGAGTGTCCCTGCCCTACACACCCCACAGTGTGTCCATGCCCTGTGTGTCCCACAAAATGCACAGGCAGGAGCTGTGCTCAGCTCCCACCCTATCCCCTGGCAGCAACACTCTGCACATGGCCCAGGTGGGGCTTACCTGTCACACACGTCACCTGGCTGGTGCCCAACCCATCCTTGGGTACCCACCAGCCCTTTGGGGGAACCCCCCAGAGGGCACAGAGCTCCTGGACCGTCTCAGTCTTGTGCAGGGGAGGTTTGGGATGTGGTAGGTTGGGTATTAGGGAAAGTTTCTTCCTGAAAAGGACTGTCCAGCCCTGGCACCGCTGCCCAGGGCAGTGGTGGAGTCACCATCCCTGAAGGGATTTAAAGACAGGTAGGTGTAGCACTTGAGGACATGGTTAGTGGTGGCCTTGGCAGTACTGGTTAGACTTGAAGATCTTAGAGGGCTCTTCTCACTCCATGTTTGCATGATCCCAGCACCACACACAGCTGCAGCCCAGTGCTGCTCCGTGTGCTCTCCGGAAGCTCAGGAAGAATGGAGCTATAATAAGAGTGGGCAGACAATGAGTGCTGGCAGTGTGCAGGGCAGCTCAGCACCCCTGGGGACACCCCTGCCACCACAGATACTCACTCCTGCCCTTGGCCACACTCCTGGGCTTGGCTTGGCTTGCCCAGTGCCAGCAGGGGAGGTGATTTTTACAGCCCTTGGTGCTGCCTGCTCTGGGAGAGTGACCCTGGGACTGCCAGACCAGCTCTGCTTCCCACCAGAAGCCTCACTGTCCCCACTGCTGGCAAAGAAAAGGGACTGCCAGACCAGCTCTGCTTCCCAGCAGAAGCCCACTCTGTCCCCACTGCTGGCAAATAAAGGGTGGGGACTCCCACTCTGATCTGAGGATCAGAAAGGACTCAGGTCCATCTCACCCTGAGCAGTTGGGGTGATGCTCGACCACTGACTCCTGTGACAGATCTCAGCCTGAGCTGTCCCACAGCACACAAGGGGTGGCCAAACCTTTTCCTTAGCACTGCCTTTATTTTCACAGGTTGACACTAGGCATGGAGGACACCCAAACACTACAACAAGAGGCTGCTTTGCCTGAGCCCACACACCAGACCTAATTCACATCGCTACACGCACCAAGAACACATGGGAAACAAGACAAGGAACGCACAGAGCTTCAGTCTCCTGGGAGGGAGGGACAGGACTGGCTTGGCAAATACATCTGCCAGGTGGGAAAAAATGAAGCCTTGAAGGCTTCCTGGAGCCCACAAGGATGGAGTAACCAGTAACCCAGTAATGGATGGGGCTGAGTCGCTCTGGAGGCATCGTGGAGTGAGCAGGCTGGGAAGGAGGCTATAGTTGGGCCTGCCTGGGTGGCAGGATTGCAGGTTGAGGGCCTATGCTGTACCACTAGGAATAGCTGGCAGGTCTGGGGACCCCCTGAGCTGAGGAGGGGCTCAGGCTGCATGTAACCCACGAGCTGCCAAGCGTTTGCACTGTGAGAAGACTCTACCTGCTGCTCAGTGGGCACAGGGTCGGGTGGGCACTGCACACACATCACTCCCACCACACACACACCATTCCCACTGCACCACCCCCTCATCCTCCTTCATGAGCTCCTCTTCAGCCTCAGGGCATTGTCCAGGGCGACCAGCTGGCGCAGGAACCCACGGTTGGGGATGATTCCACGGTGGTCCTTGACTGTCTTTATGGCTTCTACGAGGGGCATGTGGTGACGGATCATGAGGTAGGCGAGGACCAAGGTGGCTGACCTGCTCACCCCGACAGCACAGTGCACAAGGATCCTTCCTGAGAGGGGGAAACACAGGGCTGTGTCACAGCAGAGCAGAGATCCCAATTACAGATGTCCTGAAGGACCCAACTGTTTGCCAGGGAGCAAACAGCATCCTGGAGCTGTGGCTCAGGTGTGCAGCACCTGGTGTTAGATGTAGGGCCCCAGTTGTAGTGTGACTGTGATGCACTGAGGTCTCCCTTGGAGCAAAGGACATCAGCATGTTGTGATCTCCCCAACTAGACTGAGTAGGTTCAACCACAGCTCAGGACACAAGGTGAGGTTGTCACCTGGAGACCAGTGCTCTCATCCAGTCTGCTCCATCTTTGGAAGAGCTAATCCAGTGGAGGAGACACCATCCCAGGCTAAAAACACCTTTGTTTGCAGGGATGCTTAGCAACAGGCTACCAATCTAGCTTCCCCTCTCCCCGAGGCACTTTCTCCCCACTCCCCTCCCAGAGCCCTTGCCCACCGACCTTCGTTCAGCGCTTGGTGGATGAAGTCAGCTGCAGGGTAGAAGTAGGGGCTCATGTCAAAGGAAGGTGAGTCGTGGGCCTCGATGCCCAGGTAGCGAATGCCTGTGCCCTCGTAGTACTCGGCCCCTCCCCTCCACTTGCTGTGGGAGGCGTTGAGGATGTGGGTGATGCGCAGGTGAGCCAGCTCACGTCGGTTCGACGCTATATCTCTGCACGGGACAAGGACCAGCACAGATGAGACACTTCAGAGTTTCCAAGGACACTGTAAGGGCTGTCCTGGACAAGCATTTCTGTCTGAGAAAGCTGAATGCAAAGGGCAAATGCCAGACTCTTGAATTTGGAGTCAATCACAGTCCCTGAATCCATGGGCACTCCACCTACCCTACCACAGCAGTGCTCTGACTCTGCACAGCTATGGTCATGGCCTTCTTCCTTTGTCCCAGTGTTCCACACCCATCACAGCCTCCTCCGCCTTGCCTGTCTCAACTCCCTTTCCCAGATTTCCCCATCTATCACATCCTCCTCTCCCTCAGCAGTCCCAACCTCCCCTCCCAAATTTCCCTACCCATCACATCCTCCTCTCCCTCACCAGTCCCAACCTCCCCTCCCAGATTTCCCCACCCATCACATCCTCCCCTCCCTCACCTATCCCAACCTTCCCTCCCAAATTTCCCTACCCATCATATCCTCCTCTCCCTCACCAGTCCCAACCTTCCCTCCCAGATTCCCCTATTTCACAGACACAGCCCTGACCCCCCCAGTCCTTATCCCTTTCCCATACATACTGGTCTCCCAGGTAGAGTCCTGGCCAGACCTCATCAGCATGGTTACAGGCTGTCTTCCCCGTGTACAGCAACCTTTCCAGCTCGAAGACGCTGAGGATGGGGTGGCTGCTGCGCTCCTCGCGCGCGGGTCGGCTCGGTGACCTGGTGCTGTTCCTGTAGAACCTGGACAGGAAAGCCATTGGTGCTGCCGAGACCCACACGGCATACCTGGGGGGTCGTGAAGGCCGCAGAGAGGCCTGGAGGTCGTTTCTGCTGCTGCTGCCACCCACGGTCCTGTCCTGCAAGCAGTAGAGATGCTGTTAGATTTGGCTCCTCACTGCCAGAAAGACATTGAGAGGCTGCAGCATGTCCAGAGAAGGGAATGGAGCTGGGGAAGGGGCTGGAGCACAAGGAGAAGGAGCTGAGAACTTCTGAGGGAGATGGGGGGCTCAGCCTGGAGAAAAGGAGGCTTGGGGAGGACCTTCTTGCTCTCCACAACTCCCTGATGAGAGGTTGTGGATAGGTGGGGGTTGGTCTCTTTTCCCAGGGAACAAGTGACAGGATGAGAGGAAACAGCCTCAAGCTCTGCCAGGGAAGGTTCAGGTTGGCCATCAGGAATTTCTCCAAGGAAAAGGCTGTCAGGCATTGTGCTGCCCTGCCCAGGGAGGTGGTGGAGTCACCATCCCTGGAGGTGTTCGAGGAACAACTGGACATGACACTCAGTGCCCTGGGCTAGTTGACAAGGTGGAGATGGGTCACAGGTTGGACTCAATGACCTTGGAGGTTTTTTCCAGCCTGAGTGATTCTGTGGCTCTGTGGGGCTGTAACTGGGGACCTCTCACTCCATCCCTTCTGTAGAAACATTGGCCCAAAGCAGCCAGTTCTCACCTTCCTGATGTCAGGTCAGGTACCTAGTGGTTCCCAGTGTGAGACATCCTACATCCCTACATCCCTTCCAAGAAGGAACACTGCTGGGAGACGTTTATGCTGCCAGGGGTGGTGAGGCAGCCAGATTGCTGAGTCTCCACAGGCTGAGGTTTTGCTCCAGCCCCACAACTTTGGGTTGAGGCCACGTTGGCAAGAGATGTTCTACACAGGACCACCTTCCTTCTGCGCTGGCTCTGGGGCTGTGCTGCCAGTGGGACAGAGCCAGCTCGAGGGCTGATGCTGCCAACCTGCTCTCAGAAGTGAGGAAAGCAGCCAGGTCTGGGCAAGCCACCAGGACTGGGGAAGAAAAACCCCCAAACAGGTGGAGGATTCCATATGGCACCAGGCAGTCTGGCCAGCACCCAGACTCCTACAGACCAGGCACAAAAGCCTGTGGGGAGGGAGAAGGAGGATTAACCCTTCCATGTGCAGCAGTCCTGCTGCTTCATTGGAACATCCAGCACTGGTTTGGGGTGGGAAGAGTTAACTCCAGGGGATGAGAAAGCTCATTTTACAGAGCAGCTCCTCTAGGCCACAGCTCTGCTCCCAAACCTTTAGATCATGCCGACGCTTGTCACACATCTGCAAGAACCTCCCCCTGGACAGCTTTACCCACAGTTCACAGTCCCTGCTGCCAGATGTTGTCACAGAGGCCTTTTTCTTCTGCCCCTCTGGCAGACA